GTCTTAGGGTTAATTAGAGACAAGGGTCGCTTGCTTAGGGGTCAAGTAAGCCTTGCTTGGGAGTCAAGTAAACCTCTCTATATAAAGAAAGGAGATGTATCAATCTAATTAAGCAAGAATTAAGAAGGAAATCCCTTCCCTCTTGCCCGGCCGTGGGCAAAAAGGCCCCCGGCCGGCCCTCTCGCGCCCTCCTTCTAGCAGCGCCATAACAATTTGGTATCAGCTAGCTTCGGTTCGATCATGTCTTCACCGCCGCCCAACCCGTCTCTTCCGCTGCCGGTCACGACCGTCGCCCCGCTCCTGCCCGCGCCGGGATCCTCCGTCGCGCCCGCCCCCGTCGTCCTCACCCCGGAGGTGTCCGAGGCACTGCGGGACCTAACACAGGCGGTCCAGGAGATCCACCTGTTCTTGGCCGGGTCCTATGGGCCGCACTCGGCTGCGCCGCCCATCACCGCCACCGCACCGCCGTGGCTGCCATGGCAGCCGCCGCACCAAGAGGCCCCCGCCGCGCTCGCCGGGCTACTGCAGCAGCCGCTGCAGCTGCCATCCATCGCCCCGTCCTGACTGTCATGGCAGCCGCCGCACCAGGCGGCCTCCGCCGCGCTCGTCGGGCTGCTGCAGCAGCCGCTGCAACTGCCATCCACCGCCACCACCGCCCCGTCCTGACTGCCGTGGCAGCCGCCGCACCAGGTGGCCTCCGCCGCGCTCATCGGGCCGCTGCAGCAGCTGCCATCCACCGCCCCGCTCTGACTGCAGTGGCAGCCACCGCTCCTGGCGACCTCCGCCGCGCCCGGTGCTCCGCCGCAGCAGCCGCTACAACTGCAGCAGCCATCAACGGTCAGCTCCGGCCCCGCATCGACCGCGCCGACGGGAGTCCCGATCCACCAGATCAAGTTCCCGCCGTCGCCATCACCGCTTCCCCAGGGCGTCGCCATCCAGCAGATCAAGCTTCCGCCGTCGCCGTCACCGCTTCCAGCTTGGATCACTACCCGCCACGTGTCGGCGATGGTGAGGCTGCAGGCTGCTGCACGCGGCCTCCTAGCGCGTCGGCGTGTGCGGGAGTTGCGTGGTCTGCAGCTGCCGCTCCTCCCAGTTGCGCTTCGCTGCGCAAAGGACCTCGATCTCGTCCACTGCGTCAGGGATCTTGGGCATGCTATTTTCCCCTCGGGCAGCGACCTCCAAGTCTGCAACATTGGCGGTTGGGGGAGCGCACCCCTCCTTGTCATTCTCCATGGCAAGCCCCCCACTCTTCTCTATGCGGTGCAGACCAACAGCCGTCCGGCAGGAAGAAGGCATGGTGTCACTGACAAGAACGCACCACGTAGCACCACTACATTCCGTCACCGGGCGCCGCAAGGGCGCCTCTGCTGGTCACTCTTGCGACCACTTCCAGGTGGCCATACACATGCACTCCTTTTGTCCAGATGGTGTCCATGGGATCCAGGTGGTTGTACGCGTGCACGTCCGACGTGCGGATGGTATCCACTTTTTATTAAGAGGTCCAAAATAAATCATCCCGGTCCATTTCAGGTTGAGAGTAATAAAACAAGCCGAGATGTAAAAGGCTTGTTTTTAGGTGTTAGATCTGTGTTGCGTCGAGTCATGGTTATAAGTTGGTTAGGCTGCAGCTCGAGGACAAGCTGCATGTCTAGGTGGGTTGTAGTGTTAGAGTACGTAATGGGCCTAATGGCCTGGGCTGGCGGTATAGCCCGTTAGTCTTAGGGTTAATTAGAGATAAGGGCCGCTTGCTTAGGGGTCAAGTAAGCCTTGCTTGGGAGTCAAGTAAACCTCTCTATATAAAGAAAGGAGATGTATCAATCTAATTAAGCAAGAATTAAGAAGGAAATCCCTTCCCTCTTGCCCGGCCATGGGCAAAAAGGCCCCCCGGCCGGCCCTCTTGCGCCCTTCTTCTAGCAACGCCATAACAGCTTGGAAGATACTTAATATTCATGACATCCAGAGCTTTCAAAGCATGACTACACAATATACCAACTCTTTCAAATTGGCCACATCTACATAGAACTTTTTGCTCTTCATCAACTATAACTTTGCATTCTTCTTCATAAGAGCATTCCGGGTCAAGATTGGCAATTGCAACAGTATATGCATTGTCTTCCTCCGATGGCTTGATGTACGCTGAGATGGATCTTTCGTATTCATTCTGAAAATCTTCAAATATGCTAGGTGTGTAAACTTTGCTTGCTTGTATTACTGTAGGAGTTCTTATTCTAACTCTAGGTAATTTTTTCCTCGACTCATATTCCTCATTTACCTCTTTATCTCTCTTTCCTTGCACAACCCTCTCTACGTGCTTGAAAAAACGAAGAATGTCAAGATCAGACTTCAAATGGTCTTTCAAGTCACTATTCAAGCTCTCACTTAATTGTGTTCTTCTCATGCCTATAGTATAAGCATTTCTCATGTAAGATCTTGCCCATTTCTCTTTTACTTTATAGATACTGTCCAACCAAGTCTGTGTATCCACATTGATTCTTATGGCAGTGAAAGCTTCTTCAAAGTCTTCCTCTTCCTCGTACTTGTACATGCAAGCACTGAAATCAGCAAGTACATTTGGGCCATCCTCGTCTTTTTTCTTATGAGGTCAATGTTTGATGGCATTTTGCATTATGTGAAAAGTGCACAATCCATGCCATGCTTCTGTAAATACCGCCCGAATTGCATTACCCATTGCTATGTCCTGGCCAGTAAAGATAGTTCTAGGCTGTTTTTTTGTTATGTATGGATAAGTAAGTGTTGAACAACCATTTGAAGGATTCAAATGTCTCGTCGTATAGAAGTGCAACACCAAAAATGACCATTTCTCTAAAATGGTTGAAGCCAACAAATACACCAAAGGGTTACTCTTTATTTGTCCCAAATGTAGTATCAAACGTAACAACATCACCAAAGTGAGCATAGTCAATGATCATCTTTGCATCAGCCCAGAAGATATTTGCTATTTGTTCATCGCAATCGTGTTGTACATCATATTCAAATGCAGGATTCTCATTTTTTATCTCGAAAGTACTTGAGCATACTTCCAGCTTCACCATACATCAACTCCCTTTGACGCTTGGTTCGCAAATAGTTCTTGTGATCACGAGGTGTGTAGGTAAGGTTTAATGACCCACCAACTTGCCGACTTGCCAGCTCATGGGCTGCTTTTGGTACAATTCCTGAATCATCTGCAGTTTCAATGTCAAAAGCTTGCAAGGTCGATATCTTCCGTTGTGATGGCATCAAGTGGCATGTTCCAGGCAATTGCAAGATATGGTCGTGTTTAGTGACTAACTCGTGTACTTCGTAATTTCCTGTTTCTCGGTCGATGGTGATTCCCATTCGAACTTTACAACCAGTCCTTGTTTATGCACGAGGACGCTTGGTATTATGATCTCTTTTGTCTATTCTTCTGTAGCCCTCGTTGGAACAAACGTATCTCGCGGAAGTGATTGCCCCATCAAGTTTGCTCTTATTTTCATAATTTACCCTTACGTCAAAACCAATATGACCTCCATAACAAGTCTAAAATCCCCGGGCCTCTTTTGTGGAATTAAATTTCATACCAATTTGAGGCATCCAACTAGGAATCATATTTTTCCTGTAAAAAATAGGCATATCTTAATTTATTTGTCTAGTTACACTACAAGAAATATGATGATATGGCATGAGAATTTAACAAAATTGAGTGTACCTGTTTGAATCTTTGTTGGAGTTGGTCATATTCTCCATTACACCTTTTCGTTTCCTTTTTTGTAATCTGAGATAGTCAGTCTATAGGAATTCTCTTGCTGCCTTGAGAACATGAATACAGTTAGAGCATATGTTACATACCTCGAGATTGATCGTCTTTTTTTTGCTAGGAGAAGGAAGGCAAAAGGGAGATCATCTACATTAATCTCCTGTCAAGTATTGGAAATCCCAAGTATTTCATGAGCAAAGCACCTATGGTACAACTTGCATGTAAAGATCTAACTACATTCATGTATTTTATCTTGAGATTATTCAAAACAATAGATATCACTTCTGTTAGCAAAGCACCTATGGTACAACTTGCATGTACAGTTCTGACTACATTCATGTATTTCATCTTGAGCTTATTTAGAACAATAGAGATCACTTATGTTCAAATATATTTTTTCACTCTAACATCATCCAAAAGGTGCAGGAATAAATTTTGGATCTCCTTCCTCCCTTGTCACTACTGATTTTCTACTAGTTGTTTGGAGGATTCGGCTCCTCTGCAATTTAGCTACTGAATTTATTAAAATTGATGGTGCCTGTTTGAATCTTCATTGCCGTTAATCATATTCTCCACTAAACCTTGTCTTTTTTTTTGTAATCTGTGATCATATAGCAAAATCAGTCTAGGAATTCTCTTGTTGCCTTGAGAACATGGATAGAATCAGATCACATGTCACATACCTTGAGATTGATCAGCTTCTTTTTTGTTGCTAGGAGAAGGATGGTAAAAGTGAGTTCAAAAGGGAGATCATCCACACCACTTGCAGATCAGCGGGAGAAGAACAATCAATAGAGAGATAGGGCAAAAGGGAGATCTTTATGCCACATAAACTTGCAGATCAGCGTGAGGAGGACAGATATAGGGCAAAAGAGGATCTCTATGCCGCCCATAGATCAACATATACCTTGGTCACGTTCTGGCTACAAGAAGGATGATCAAGGAGGACTGGGGAAGACCGGCGGGACGAAGGCATGGAGATCGCTGTTTGGCGCCAATGTGCGTTCTGTTTGGCGCCAAGCAGCCGTAGGAGATATTTCACCGGACAAATTGGGGTGTTTGTTTTCATTCTTTAAAAGAATTAAGTGGGGAAATTAGAGCAGTCAGATTGGAATTGACGGCTGATGTAGATGTCTACAGCATCCGTGCAGTAATAGTTGGACTGCAGAGGAGCCGAACCCCGTGGAAGAGGAGTTTCCGAGACACCGCACAACAGATCGAGAAATCCTGAGGCTAAATCACGGTACATGCGCGGGCGCGCATGGCCATGGCGATGTCAACCGGCGACGGCGTCGTCCACCGCATGCTCAGCCTCCACCGAGTCGTCAAGAGCAATCTCGTCGCCGGTCTCCTCCGGTTCATCCCGACTGCGCCGACGACGACGGCAGCACCGGCGGTGGAGCCGCCCGCGTGCCTGCTCGGAAACGGCATCAAGACCGTGGTGCTCGAAGTCGACGCGCTGCTCCTCAAGTCTTCACCGCCGTCGGCCGCGACGCTGTTCCCTCCTTTCTTCCTCGTCGCCGTCGAGGCCGGCAGCTTCGCCCGAGGCCTCCTCCTGCTCGCGCTCTACCCGTTCCTGCACATCATGACGCACGCGATGTGTGTAGAGGCCATGGTCATGGTCAGCTTCTGCGGGCTGCGGCGCGACGAGGCGGCGAGGATCGGCAGGGCCGTGCTGCCCAAGTACTTCTCCAAGGAGGCGGCGCGCGTGGAGGCGCTGGGGGAGGCGAGGGAGGCGACGGCGAGTGAGGTGAAGGTGGCGGCGGCGAGCAGGTCGTTCCCGACGGTGATGGTGGAGGCGTTCTTGAAGGATTACGTGGGCTTCGACGCGGTGATCGGCAGGGAGGTCAAGGCGGGCTACGGATACTTCGCCGGTGTAATGGACGACGGGAACACGTACGCGGAGAGGCTTAGGGCTGCGGTCAAGAGAGCCGAAGAGAACACTACGTACCACTACCCGAAGCCCATGATCTTCCACGACGGGCGGCTGGCGTTCACGCCGACACCGGCGGCCGCGCTCGCCATGTACGTCTACTTCCCCTTCGCCGTCGTGCTCTCTGTCGTGCACATCGCCATCTACACCCTCCTCCCGCGGCGCCTGATAGGCCCAGCCGCCGCGCTCGCCGGCGTGCGGGTGCGCGTCACCGGCGCCCCTCCCGCCGCCGCGAACGGCGAGAGCGGCGCCTCGGGCGGCCGGCTCTACGCGTGCAACCACCGCACGCTCCTCGACCCGATTGCCATCTCGAGCGCGCTGGGGAAGCCCGTGTTCGCCGTGACGTACAGCCTGAGCCCGCTGTCGGAGCTGCTCTCGCCGATCCCGCTGCTGCGCCTCACCCGCGGCCGCGACGAGGACCGGCGCCGCATGTCGGAGCTGCTGGAGCGGGGCGACGTGGTGGTGTGCCCGGAGGGGACGACGTGCCGCGAGCCGTACCTGCTCAGGTTCAGCCCGCTGTTCGCCGAGCTCGCCGACGAGGTGAGCCCCGTGGCGGTGGACGAGCGCTCCACCATGTTCTACGGCACGTCGACGTCGCCGGGCGCCAAGTGCTTGGACTCGGTCTTTTTCCTGATGAACCCACGGCCGGAGTACTCGGTCCACTTCCTGGAGCCCGTGCGCACAGACAACCCGCGTGGCAGCATCGAGGTCGCGAACCAGGTGCAGGGCGTGCTGGCCGGCGCTCTCGGGTTCACGCCCACGGCGCTGACGAGGAAGGACAAGTACTTGCTGCTCGCTGGTAACGAGGGGGTCGTGGCGACCAAGACGAGCAAAGTCATCTAGGATTGTAGGGATGCTTAGAATATATACATAGTAGAGTGTTGTTTTGCGGTACTGTACATTGCACTGCATAACCACATTTTTTGTATGCCGGATTGATGAACTGGGTATGTTTGGAACGCTAAAGTTTCATATATTTCACATGGGATGGGACACATTATTCATCAGCTGCCTGGATTCCCTGGAAAAATATCTAAGCGCTAGTCAAATTTCTCCTTCATGTAGCTTCTTCCTCTTGCCGCGCTTCGACTCCGGCCGAATTGCCGGTCTCCTTGCTACCCCCACCCTCCCCAAACTGCCATCTCCACGGAAAAGGCATTTACATTCGTGTTCCGTTCACGGCGTGTATCTCCACTGTCTAAATCTACCCATGATGTATGTGAGAAAGCTGAGAAGGGCCCTACTAAGACCCAGGTTAGTCTTGTCCAGTAGTAGGTGACGCGCTGTTGATAGATTCACTTTACCCCTTCGATGGTGGAATTAATTCTTGTGATTATCTCTCTAGCCTATTTTGTTGGAAGTAATTTAAACATCACAAAATTAAAATATCATGTTATTGAAATTGTTCTCAAAGAATGTTCTTTAAATAGTTTTAAATAAAACCAAACTGCATCCCGCAAAAAAAACATAGAACCAAACTTTATTAAACTGGTTTATGAACTTTGCCATGACAAATAGAAGTACTTTTGGAAAACTCTGGCATAGCTCGCAATTTTTGAAAAGTAGGTAGAGAACATGTTAACCGTATTTTTGGAACTTTATCGCCAAAACTCAAAGAACTTTTTATTTTTATTGGTTTCTTCAAAAATCCTTCTGATTTTCATAGCAAAGTTCAGGCACATTCTTCATAAAGTCCGATAAAGCCTTCATAAAAATTGCACGCGCGTGATTTTTTAGTGAGGCTGTGGGTTAACATGTAATAATCCTACAGTAACTAGTGACATTATCCTGCAACAAAAAGTAACTAGCGACGTTAATTATCCATGCCAGATATAATTATGAGGCTGGCTTGCCACTAAACAGAAGCATGGGAGGGAAAAATGCATAGAGCATGCGCAGGACCTAGGTAGAGAAACGAATCTACTAGCCTGTGGCTGGTGCATGGCTGACACAATGATGGGCCTAACTGATTGGACAGCATGCTTGATGGCCGGCTCGGATTCACACTGCATACAGAACGCGAACATAAAAAACCGCGTCCCCATCTCCACTGGTCTGCCACGGCACTTGGCCACCCCTCTAAGTCCATCCTCTTCTCTCGTGCCGGCAACCCCCTCGCCGTCCCCCCGTGTTGGCCCCGGCTTGGCATCGTCAATTCACCATGCCCGGCTGCATCACCCCATCTCCGCCTCACCATCTTCTCTTCCCAAAGGGCTTGCAAATAGCAAACACGATTTCATATAAATTTGCAAGAATTACACGTAAATGCTAATCTACACTACATCAAAGGAGATTTGCCTAAACCTCTTCATATAGTTGTACCATACACTTAGGCCTCCTTTGATTTGTAAGAATATTATAGGATAGGATTCCTATAGAAAAATTTTCATTGGAGCTCTTTGGTTTGTAAGAACAGATTTCCTAGTAGGATTATCCTTCACATTTCAAAGAAAAAGAAAATTAGCTCAAACCTTATGGAAAATTTCCTATCCTACGAATCGAATAACACCTCTTTTCCTATAGAAAATGAGATGAATATCTCTTTTCTATTCCTATGATATTCCTATCCTTTGAACCAAAGCAGGCCTTAACTTTCATGAACGAGAAGTCGAGAACACAGGCAATGCATAATGTGGATAGAACATAGGACATACCACTCACAAATGTAAATATATCCACACATATATTATATGCCCACGGGCAACATTCTATCATAGGTAGTAATGGTCTCCACACATATATATTATATGCCCACGGGCAGCACTCTATCATAGGTAGTAATGGTCTCCACACATATATTACATGCCCACGGTCAACATTCTATCATAGGTAGTAATGGTCATAAACTAAAATCTGGATCAGAACAATGTTTCATACGGTACCTGCCAGATGACAGTGATTTATTAACAATATATGGTAGTCTCTAAATTGGCTAGCAGATTCCATGTCAGTTTCAGTTCTCATGCTATCTTTCCTAGAGAGGTATCACCTCCACATCATCATGCTCGGCCTTCGACGCTTCATTCTCGGATGTGGGAGCGTTGTTCTCGACCATGCTCATCTCTTGCAGCGGCGGCGGCGGGTTGACAATGGTCATTGGAACAGCACTGCTTTCTGCGAGGCGGCCTTTCCTTTCACGATGCTCCTGACAGTTCGCGCACCAGGGGAAGCAGCAGTGGACTATGCCAGGAGGGCATGGAGAGTTCTGGTGGAAGCACAACAATATGTGATGGTTAGCGAAAGGCCCGTGATACTGATGCATGAAACTAAAAGCCCAGCCCGCATATCAAATGCTAGACGTGACAACTGATTAGAATTAGTGACCACAAAAAGATACTATACGTGAAAAGGTGGTCAAGGACCCTCCATGCTCACAATGATGAGCAATACAGGGTTGATGAAATGGTCTGATAATTCAATGATATAACCAGCTACCGCCAGTGGACAATGCCAAGCAAAAATTTCATGACAGTGACAGAAGTTCGCTGGACGACATAACTCTCTCGTCCAAACTACAGAACTTTATTTTAGTGAGGACGGATACACATAACTTTAACCATGCAGTTTGCTTCTGGACGCCTGCATACCTGATACAACTATCTCAGATGGAGAATGCAATTCTGTACTTCTTATAGTAGAAATAAATACAACTGTTTGTAGATGTTCTTCTGAATGCGATTTATCATGACACATACAAAGAAAACAGTGGAAGAGAGAAAGAAGTACCTCGAGATGATACCTCCTCTGAAGCTGTAGACGAAAATTACCAGTATATATAGAGCATAACCACCAACCGAACACCAGGCCTTCACCAATCAGGACTGATGTGTCTGGGTCAACACCATGGAATATAGCTGTAAGGATTGCCAATGCAATGCCACCTTCAACACAGACAGCATGGCAAGTGCAGGGTGTTGTCCATGGGATATCTTCTCTAAGAGCCTGAACATTTCGTCCAAACAAAACACAGGGGCAGAATAGACCAGTCCGGCCTAAAAAAGTAAGAAGATCAGACACGCAAGTGGTTCAGAAGTATCTCAGAATGTAGCAGTAATATATATGAAAACTGCACGGACTGAAGCATAAAGGTACAAACATCACAAACCCTATGATGACACAATTTGAATAAGAAGGCCCCATGAATGAAAGTCGGTAATAGACTAAGCAATTATGATTAGTAGACACATCCGCAAACTTTATGGTGTTCCTTTTAGTGCTTAGATTAACTCTTCAGTAAACCTGGAGATGGTCCCTCTTGTGATTAGAGATTCAGCTGCTCTGTGTTCAAGTTCAGAAGAACGGCATAAGGAACCTCGGAGCATATTACAAGATCCATCACTACAAGATTTAAAAAAAAAAACCAACCCATGGAAGTCAAGAAAGAAAAAAGAATTAGCTATTCCATTAAGCTTTCAGGTTTCGGCCATGTACGACGCAGTCATTTATGTGCTCAACAGTTTATCGCAATTAACACTTATAGTGGGAAAGTGTACATGTACAAGAACTTTCAAACAGATCAAGAAGAAAGACATCTTTAGATCAAAAGCATTGTAGTAAAAGTAAACGTTACAACTGCTAATTTTTGCTTCTTTGAAACAATGGAAGTTGCAAATTCTTTTCAATATGAGCACATTCTCACAGCACGTTGATTTTGCAAAGAGCCTAAAAGAGCTAAAATGATAACCGACAGTCAGCTGTAGAAGTGTGTACGGGGCTGTTTGGTTTGTGCCCCAACTTGCCCTGCCAAAATTTTGGCATAGCCAAAGCAAGGGCATGACCAAAATTTTGGTGTGGTAGTGTTGTTTGGATTGTAGCCATAGCACGTACCAATTTTTTGGCAAAATGGTTGGGTCTCAGTTTGGTTTGTAGCCAATTAACATGCCACATATCAGCATCTGAGGTCTTAACTTGAAATTTTTATATAAGGAGCCCATAAATCATGATGATCAAACATTCAGAAAAAAGAACAGTAAAGAAAAGTTCAGAGAAGCAGCATGTACAGGCTTTTGACCGAGTGAAACAGACGTACTAGCCGACTTGATCGATATGATCAGAGGAGGCGTGCGTATACAAGCTAGCTAATTAATTTTCCGGCTCGCGTAAGACCGAAGCATAATACGCGGGAATGCTAGCAGGCTGGCAGACAATATTCTGGTGGACGAATTCACCCCACGGCTCGCCCGCGTACTGGCGAGAACTGCATGGGCAAACGCCGGCTGGGTTGGGCAAGCCAAATATTTGGTGTCCAACCAAACAACAGCCAAAACTCATGGGCACGCCAATGTTTTGGCAAGGCCAGCTTTGGCTCAAAACCAAACACACCCTACATTTTGAAGAACTTTTCCAATACGGAAAAAAGAAGGGTCGTCTTTAACAATAAGAACATGATAATCGAAGCCAGTCGTTACGACTGCTACTCTTTATTTCTTTCAGACAATGACCAGTGCCTAATCCCTTCCCACATGAGCACATCATCACAGGCTAATTTTACAAAGATAATAGAAGACCAAAAAGATAACAGAACTTCAAATTTGCAAACCATAAAGGCTTGCAATATGATACAAAAAAGTGTATGTGAACAATTAATATTTCAAAATAAAGTACTCCTAAGCAAGCTATAAAAAAATGAAGTACTCAATTTGGACTGTTCAGTCATGAACCTCTACCCCTCTAGTCTAGGTAAAATACTCCTAAATGTAGGGCAGACATGCTTCGGATCGACTCCACATTATAAATTTGAGTTACATGTGTAGTATAAGACATAAATCAGCATCGGGTTGGCTCCAGTTTACAACTGAGTTATATGTGCAATGTAAAATATCAACCATGCCTTTCTCATAGAC